CGCAGGGTCCGTGCTGACAGAGCACCGTGCTGTCGCAGGGTCCGTGCCGAGAAAATGTTGCAGCAGGATGATGCCGTAGATCACATTTTGAAGAAGAGAAGGAGATTTTTTTCCTGAGACGGTGGGCCAATCTTTATTCCTTAACCTGTTCAATATAAATTGAAAATACAAGTAAATCACTTTTTCAGTTGGAGCGTTTGGGACCTTCAGTGGTGAGAAGGGAGGAGGTAAAAGGCTGAGCGTTGTGCCCTCTATGCTAGTATGTGCATTGGCTAGGGAGGGGATTCTAGGGGGGCTTTTGATCCCTGTCCAGACCAATACCATTTAGAGAGTTAATATCCCAGTGATCAATGTAAAGAATTACGCAACACAATTTCACAATACTGTAACAAAACGTTAACTAAATATTACTTGGGCAATTCATCCACTAAACTGCAGAAAAGAAATTAACTTTTTAACACAACAGAAATCTCCATGCCACATTTATACATTATATCTAAATTAGAATCTCTTAAGTTTAGTACACAAGGGTGAATCTTCCAGTGTCCTTTAAAAGAAATTCCCTCCACCAAATCCTCTGAGCAGAATGGCACCTTCTAGTGACTGCATCACCCTTGATTTTCCCATTGATCTCGTCTCTTCAAACAGGAAATCCATCCAGCCCACCACTCTACTTGGTAGTTTTCCTCCCACCAGTCCCTTTCTTCTGCTTGGGTAGCAGCTCCTGATTATGGCATCCTCCCCATACCCCTCTGCCTGATGAACTGAGAGAGCCTAGGCACAGCAAGACCAGCTCTGGCCTTTTTGAGGTGTCACAATTTCCCCCTTCCTTCCAACAATTTTTGACTTTGGCCTCTACCCTCCACATGACAACCAGGTTATATGGAATTGTCTCTGTATATTTTGTATAAGGTCTACCCCCACTTTCTAAGCTTTCCATTTTACCTTGAATTAAAGGAGACAGTTTAAAATATAACAATTTTATAATATTCCATGTTGTTAACAAGTGAGACTTTGTAGAGAGCTGGGATGTTCCAGTGGGAATGATCCCTGTGGGATGCTAAGTAGAGAGGAGTGTGGAAAGACGTATCTGGTGCTCATGTCAGGCTGGAGTTTGCAGAAGTCACAATCTCTGACTGCACATTTGACAGGAGTTTCTGGGAGGTGGCATTGGTCCTTGGCTTTGAGATTGCTGGCATTCCTTTCTCTGGTTCCTTTTCCATACGTACTTTTGTCGATGGATGTTCTCAAAGGATTGTGTTCGTTCATACAGAGGGGAGTTCCAAGTCCTCTTTGAACACAAGTTTACCACGCATTGACATCTAAGTTACATTTCTCAAGGAAGTCTTCAGGAAGTCTTTGAAACATGTCTTTTGTCCTCCTTTTCGTTCAGGCAGGGTGTGTGTGTGTGGAAAATTTCTTTAGGAAGATGTCTTGTGCGGGACATTTTTTAAACATGGGAATGTCACACACACTGTCCTTGACAGAAGTAATTTCTATTCCAGTAGCAAGAAAACATCAGGGACTGGGTTCTCCCATCTACTGCCGCCTTCATCCATGAAAATATAAGACCATAAGACATAGGAGCAGAAATTAGACCATTCGGCCGATCGAGTCTGCTCCACCATTCAATCATGGCTGATAAGTTCCTCAACCCCATTCTCCCACTTTCTCCCTGTAACCCTTGATCCCCTTGATAATCAAGAACCTATCTATCTCAGTCTTAAATGTACTCAATGTCCTGGCCTCCACAGCCTTCAGTGGCAGAGAGTTCCATAGGTTCACCACTCTCTGCCTGGATCACCTTTTGAGGACTTGTTTTGGATTGCACTTTGTCTGGTTCCTCCCCTTCAATCTTACTGTCATGAGTGGCCCTGCCAGGAGTTGAAAATCCCTGACATATTGCTCTCAGGGTCAACAGCACACTCCATCCTCTCTACCACAGCAAGGTGGCAATCCACAGATTGGTGGGAGGCTTATAGGCATCTTATGAACATGGCTTTGATTTATCCCCAGAAATGGAGATAGAAGAGTGAGAGATGAACCATTTGAAAGTGAAAGCGGAGGGAGAATTGGAAACAACGTCAGTGAAACTTTGCAGCCCAGGGTGAGTGCAGGCAGTGACACATTATCGAGGAATTGGGGAAAGAGGCTGGATTTGATTTGATTTTGATTTGGTTTATTGTAGTCACATGTACCTAAATACAGTGAGGAGCTTTGTTTTGCGAGCACTACAGGCAGATCATAGCAAACAAGATCAGATCATACGTTGTTTAGACAGAGTGAGGTATAAAAGATGACAGCTGCACAGGAAGTGCTCAAAGCAAGATCAACATTATTTGAAGTTAGAAAGGTCCATTCAGCAGTCTTAAGAACAGCAGAGGAGAAATTGTTCTTGAAGCTGTTGGTGCATGTGTTCAAGCTTTTGTATCTTTTGCCTGATGGAAGAGGTTGGAAGGGTGTTACCGGGGTGGGAGGGGTCTTTAATGTGATTAAGTATGATTGGAACAAAAAAGTTCCATGTGTCCCACAGAAATTTCTGATGAAAGGTCACGGATCTGAAATGTTAACTCTATTTCTCTCTTTAGAAATACCATCAGACCCATTGAGTATTTCCTCTTCTGTTTCACTAGATTTGTCGTTGCTGATTTTGCTGAGCACAACTTGCACAAAATTTGGGTGTTCTGAGGTCAAGAAGCTGGGAAGTATCTCACAGCAAAATAATTAATTTTAAAGCATAAGCATGAGTGTAATATAATATCTGTGTAATATTCTTTGTAATATTCTTTGTCTAGTTTGGTACTGCCCATGTGGCATCATCTCCTTCCCACCAGGTGGTGCTATTTCCCCTTCAGTCTGTAAGTGCAGCAGTACTGCCAAATGATCAAACTAGTAATGACATTACCCCTCCCAGCCCCTGAGGTTGGTGGCAGTTCCCTGATGCTCTGAACACAGGTTGCGCTGTCTATATAGAACACTCCATATAGGTACAAAACTGAGCCTACAGTTTAAAAATATCAACTATCAACCAACTCCGAATAAACAAGCATCACCTGAAATAGATGAAATAAGAAAATCAGTTGAAATCCGCAGGAACATTCCAGTCAGATAGAAAAAGGGACTTCCACAGCACAATCTTTCCCTCTCCTCCATCAGCCTAGAAACCGCTTGCATAGCCATTATGAACTCCCCTTCCATCGTCACTTTGGTCACAGCGTCTCTTTTGAATCTTTCTTCCCCATTTTTCAGCACCTCCCCATCCCCCACAGCTTTCTAACTAGCCTGTTAAACATTCTCCCCCAGTACTGGCCCTCCGACAGCGCGGCGCTCCCCCAGCACTGACCCACCGACAGTGTGGTGCTCCCCCCTCCTGCTCCTGACCCACTCACTGCCTCCTACCCATCCACTGTTCTGTGTAACTCCCTCCTGTTAAAGTGGATATAGCCAATTTCCACTCTTTACTTCTGTAATATCTGTTTCTGGTTAGTTTATGGAATGTGGACAAATCAAATTGATCCTTTCTGCTGTCTTCTGTTTGTTTTATTAATTTTAAGCTTGCTCACTTGTTAATTTCTTTCTCCTCATTGTCACAAACTTTCCCATGACTTGCATTCCTTCAGTCAATTATTGGAGAGAAAGGTACACCTAAGAGAACACACCTTGGCCCTTGTTCACTGAAATCAACTTATCCTCTGAAACTGCATGGTGTTGTTGTGGTGGCCACTTGGTTCTTCCAGTCAAGGCATACCCTCCGTTCACAACAATGTTCTCCATGACAACACCACAGGCCTTCCCTTTAATGCAGCATGTGCATGAACTTGCATACTTAATAGGGATTCCACTCTAAATGGACTCCCTCATGCAGATACCTCGGATAAACTGAATGAGTTTTATTTACACAAGAAAAAGCTGCTTAACTTGCTGGAGCTGTGCCGACTTCAAGCAGTTCTGTGATTTCCCTCAAGAAAGGCATCTGCCAGCTCAGTTCAGGGTGGATTGCATTGACCCCACACTGTTTGAACTTTGACCTCCGCTCTTTACTGAGTTGGACACTGAATGTCTTCTGTTGTACCCACTCCCCACAAATGCCTAATTGTAATGATTGTAAAGACTGATGTAGTCTAGACGCATTGTGTGACAGTGAATGTCTGAAAAGCTGAGGTTGTGGGAGTTGCCTGTGCCTTGGCAACTCATTTCTGCAGGACTCATGCACCTGCTCATTGTCTTTACTTCTTTAAAAAAAAACTAGTGAAATCAAAATTACCCAACAAATAAATGTGTGATTGAAACATGCTCATACCTTCAATAAGGACTGTCAGGAAAAGCTTCCTGACTCCGAGACCGTGGAATCACCCAGCATGTGGAGTGGTTGAGATGCATTTAAGGGGAAGCTGGATAAACACACACACACAGAACAGATGACAATTGGGGGTTGGGGGGTGCGGTGTAAGAAAGAGAGGGTCAGATGAAATTCCAATGGAGCAGAAACACTGGTACAAACCATTGTTGATTTGCCATTTCTGTCATGGCTGAGTGACTCAGCGGAAAAACTAGGTGAAGAGCTAAACATGACTAACTATCTGAAAAGGCCCACCTTGTTTTGAGCCTGGGATCTTTTCTCTGTTAATTCACAAAAGGCACAAACTATTCCGCATCCTGGTACAACCAGCACCTTTCTACCATCACAGCATAGTGCTGGCAATGAAGTGACATTTGAGTGCAGTCTTAGAATAGGGCTGCCGGTGAGACACTCAGAATAATGGCTCAGTGGTTAGCACTACTACCTCACAGCACCAGGGACCCATGTTCGATTCCACCCCCTGGCAACTGTCTGTGCGGAGTTTGCATATTCTCTCCTTGTCTGCGTGGGTATTCTCTGGGTGCTCCAATTTCCTCCCATAATCCAAAGCTGTGCAGGTTAGGTGGATTGGCTGTGCTAAATTACCTGTAGTGTTCAGGGATGTGTAGATTAGGTGGGGTATACGGGATGGGTCTGGGTTGGATGCTCTGAGGTTCGGTGTGGACTTGTTGGGCCGAAGGGCATGTTTCCAGACTGTAGGGATTCTGTGAATAATCAGTCAACCTCATTGCCATTCATTCTTTCTCTTGTTCGCACTCTCACTCTCGCTTGCTCTCTCTCTCTCTCTCTCTGCTGGATGAGGACGGGATAAGGATTTCTCTCTTCCCAAAGACAGCCATCACAGGAGAAGACTGGTCACTCACTAGTGTCTCTGCATCTGCTTGGAGAGGGAAAAGTGGGTGAGATGTTTGGGAGTGTTCCAAGTGACGACGGACTGTTGGAGAGTCAGTGCTGAGGGAGTGCC